ATCATTGTACACAGAAGCCAATAAATTATTTTATATTTACGACATTTTTCAAAAGCAAAAAGGAGATCATTTCCATCTTCAGTGTTTAAATAGTCAAAGAATTCTCTGCATTTCATTTTAAAATTTCCATTAATTTCGTGCTTTGCGCCAGGAAGCAATCCTTACACTAAAGATACTCTCAGTTGCTTCGTGTGAGGATGGTATTAAAAAAAAAAAAACACATATTCTTTCAAAATGTGGAAAAGTTCCACTATTTGAGGATTTCATCTACATATATTTCCTCATGGCTTCAATTAATTTTTTCAACTACGCAAAAACTTTGAAAGAACAAGGATTCGCTAAAAAAGTATCTAACTCTAGGTCCTGTATGCAAAAGTCTTTTGCATTGTGAGTAAATTGTGAAAAAAGAATTGTTAGTTATAGGCAAAAGCCATTCGAATATTCCAATTTGTTTTTATTAAACTGATAGTTATTTTTGCGATAACTAACAACACATGACAAAAAAAAAACGTCAGCCTTCATATTATCGCAACTGGTGCGTAACGACCCAACGATATGCCCATATAACGATTGATCTTCTTGTTGTATTAATTTCTTGGACATATCAAACATTTTTCTGAAACATTTCAACTATAATTAAATTATTTTCTTCTTAATTAAGCAAGTTCCAACGCTATGTAAAAATCTTAAGAAAATCCTGAAGTATTTTGTTTGAATTGAAACAGTACAAATTTTGAAAAATCATCAATGAATAAAATCAGTGCAAGAGTTGAAAAATTAGTATTGTACGCCATAAATACGCATAAATAGTGCAATGCAAACTTTACAGCTGAAGTAAGGTTTTGCTTATTGGGAAAATTTCTAAAATTCATAACATCCTAACCTTTTAAGATTTCATATCGGACAAATGTATGTAAAACGAAATCAGTCCTCAGACTAAAACCCTTACATTAAGCATGCCCAGATACCGCCACGTTTACTAATTAATTCAATTTATTGACGATATGTTAGTACAATAGGATACAAGGATATTTTATAGTACAACAGAGATGCAGACAAAAGTACATAAATAGTAACATAAAGGTAAATTAAGGAACGGGCTACTGTAAACTTAGATGCTAACATAATATAAAATTTAAACATTTTGAAAAAGGATGATCAGTGCAAATTTTTAATAAACATTCACTAAAATAAATACAGAAGATGTGGAAAATTATTGGCAAACTAAAACTTGTAAATAATACAAAGTATCTTATTGAATGCCATTGATCTCTGAAGGAGATGACCCAGCATTATAGACATACATAAGTTGTGTGTGTCCGGGCCTCTTACAAGGTAAGACCACGAATGGTATTCAAAGATAAAAAATTGAAATTATCCGGATTAATAATATCAAAGAAAAAAAGAAGAAAATGTGCAACACCTTTTGCCCCACTGTTCGCTACTATCATTTAACAAAGCCTTTCAGAGATCTCCTAGGCGAAAATAAGAGCAATGATCTAAATAAAAACAATTTAGCATAAAGCGTGAAATATAAAAAGTTATTTGAATTTTCCTTAGCTAGTACTTTATGGTTTCAGAATAATTGTAAAATAAATTAAACCTAGACCACTAAAAGTGACAAAGTGGAATCATAATAAAATTTAGTTGTACGTTTTTTTGCTTGCATTTCTGCCATCAGTTGTCCTTGCTGTTGTTCTTGCCTTCTTTTTTATTGTTATTTATGAAAAGTTTGCACATTATTATTCAATTAAGTCCAATGACACTTTTAATGCACACAAAGACACACTTTTGATGTGGCAGTAAACAAACAATTTTATATTTATACGCATTAGGGTGGCTCTAATATTTTGCTGTGATTTTGTATGCAAATACGTATGTATATCTGTACATAAAGAGAGGAAAGTGATACATTGTGTTGCTTTCTGTATAATTATTTTTTTTCCAGGCGCAACATTGAGCAATAATATAAAAGTATGTGTAGGTATTGAATTAATACTAATTAATATTCAAGTATCTAACTTGTTGCTTAATTTGATTTTGAATTTGTACACTAGTCGCAACCTTCTTCAAGAATCTTTAAGAAATTAAGTTTTATAAACCACCTTGTTTGACGCGCATATTAAAATAATTCATTAATTTTTTAATTAAATTCATGTTGAATTTATAAACATGTGGCAACCCCCTAACAAGTTTTTTACGAAATAAAGCTTTCTTAAACATCTCTATGTAGTTAGGCACCAATATTCAAATATGCAATTTGAGTGGTTATTTAAATTAGTTTTGAATTGTTAAACAGGTGGCAACACTCTTTCGAAAATTATCATTTCAACTTCATACTCTTAATCAGCACCATGAAAAACCCGATTTAGACATTCTCAAGTCCATTATTTAAGATAACATATCGACTCCGCCACACTGTGCGTCTTATACACCATAAACCGAGAGAGCCTCATCAGAAAAATTTGTACTTAACGGACTGAATGCACGGAGAAAAACTCGAGCAAAGTTCAAACTATCAGCGTATATCAATTAGACTCTAAAACTTACTTGTGGAACGCGTATGTGTAACTCGAAGTGACTTCGAGTAGCATGTGGAACAAACCTATTATGAAATCGATAGGTGTTCCACACAAATATTTTACCTCAAGTTTTCGCATGAAATAACGAGAACGAAAAATGGCACTGAAAACGGCAAAACGCGGTAACCGGTTTGTGTCCAAACCAAATTTGACAAGGAACGAGGGAAATTCATTCCAATAACCAAAACTGAAGTACGGAATTAATTTAGAATAAGTAAATCCCGCTGTGGCCGCTGTGGTGTAGTAGTAAGCAGTGCGCGCTTCCACTCCGCAACGCCTGGGTTCAAGCCCTGGTCAAAGCAACATCGCAAAAAATGTAGAAAAAGGTTTTTTCTTAACAGCGGTCGTCCCTCGGCAGGCAATGGCAAACCTCCGAGTGTATTTCTGCCATGAAAAACAGCTTCTCATAAAAATACAACCGCCGTTCGGAGTCGGCGTTAAACTGTAGGTCCCCCCGCTTTGTGTGACAACATCAAGGCGCACGCCACAAATCGGAGGAGAAGCTCGGCCAAACACTAACATATGTGTAAGCGCCAAACTATTATTATTATTATTATTAAATCCCAATAAATTTTGACATAGATTGTTTCCTCCCTATTATACCGTACTTGTAAGTACATACGAGTATAAGTACAACTATCTACTGAAAAAGTCAACAGTTTGCAAATGGGAAATGAGAAATGAAAAATTAATTAGGTATTTTTCCTTTTTTTTTGCTATCTAAGAAATATGCATTTATTAGCAGTCATTTTATTTATGATTCTATGGATTATTGCAGCACTTAAATCAATTAATAAATAGTGCTTTAAGTGGTCTAATTGAAAAATAAATGCCGATATGTATTTGCATTAACTAATACTAATCATTGAATAAAAGTTGAATAAATATTTGCAAATTCATGTAAAAAATATACAAAGTGTGCACCGAGGTAATACATACTTACTTATGTATATATAAGAAAATTGAGTTAAATGTTATGAGGCAATGTATATAAAATAAAAATAAAATTCAAAAATTAGATAGTTTTTTCTTTCGTGAAATAATTTTCGAAGCACGAGATCAGTTTAATAAGTCAGTGATTTTCATGCATTTCACGATTTGGGATTAAAAGTTAGCCATCTTGCGAATTTGCTAAGTAAATTATAAAAGGTGAATTCTTCTTTTGAGATTGTGAAAATCCAAAATTTCGGAAAATCCGAAATTGTATCAACAATAGATTCTCACTGAAAACAGCTCTTATAGCCTATTCCCACCAAAATCTTAACTGCAGTTAAGAGCTCAGTTAAGTATCAATTATTTTAAAATGGGGGGATTGGCATTCTTTATTTCTTAGTCTTTACTGCCATACTTTAGGTTACTTTTAGTTAATATGACCAATTACCCCGATCGAGTGATAATCTCGGTTTTCCAATTGTTAAGGCTTGGTGGAAATGCCCCATTAAATTCGAGGATCTCAAGGAAAATTAATAAATATTTGAAACTGTAACGGTTATGATCTTTACAGAAAAAAAAAAACCATAAATTAATCGTTAAAATTTTGTCTCATTACTTGCCTTAACCTCGTATCTGCAATTGGGTCTGTCTAGAGAATGTAAGAAAAAATACTTATTTTTTCCACTATCATACAACACAAATGCTCCTTTTACTTAATACTTCTGGTCTTAGGTGTAGGATTTTGGGCTTATGAATCCCGAGCAATACTCTCTGCCACTTCTTTGCACATGATTCTGCTATGTCCCAATACACAAAAGAGGTAAACCCGGTGTAAACGCTCCTTATAGGAGAAGTAGTGAGTACAAAACGAAAGAAGAAAAATAAATTTATCGTGCTTGCTGAAAAATTATCTGTCATTCCGAATGTCATTGACTTATCAAGCTGGCCTCTTAAGCTGGAGGATTTGCTTAAACGAATGAAATTGAAAAACTCGAGGTCCGAAGAGGTTTTCTGTTCAAGTTTTAACCTTTTAGAAAAGTTTCGAGTTCTTTTGTAATACTCAATTATGTATGTTTTTAAAATATGGTTATTTTAGGACTTCTGTAAAGTTAATTAGTTTAAGAGAGAATATTAAAAATCTAAAAAGGTCGAATGCTAAGAAAAAATACTTCATAGGAAAAGCATACAGATATCATATTACACAATTAAAGGGTTAAAGAGACGTGTTAACGGTCGTAAAATCTTAAGTTTAGCATTTTTTTAAGTAAAAAAGTGATTAAAATGATTTTAGAGAATTTCAAAGTACACAGAAATGTTTTTAAACTGGTAAAAAATATTTAATTGACCCCCCTTAAAATATTTTAAACATTGTTTTACATAAAAATATCTTAAGGTTAAGATTTTAAGACCGTCAAACACGTCTTGTCAAACCCATATATCGTGATAAATTATTTAAATTAAAAAAAAAAAATCATTAAACCTAGAAAAAAATTGTAGTAGGAAAAAATAAAAAAGAATTAAATTAAATTAATTAAAATAAAATAAAATAACTAAGTTTAGCTGTATACTAAATGCTTTCATATTTCAAAAAGCAAAGAATTTATACAAAAATTATGTCAATGTGCGAGTATTATTTGTTTGTGTAATATAGGCGAATATAATGTTTTTGAACTTACACTCATACATGTAAATAATGTTTCTCTTCTACCCTAAAATATACTTTTGGTAAGCACACTTTAATTCAAAGACGTGAATACATACATATAAGTGCGTATATGTATATGCGCATAGAAAAATTAGCCCACTTTTCATCTAAACTAATGAGCTTCATCATATATCTGTCTATAGCCTAAGGGAGTTTGTAAGCAGATATCTGCGCTAACCAAACTACGTACTTAAAAAAATATGAATCACACACACACACACACACACTCACCTTATACGGACATACTACATATTTATGTGCTAACATAATAAAATTAGTAACCTTGGCAGAGTTTGGTTTAACTCAGCGCCGTACGAAAAATTCTTCCTATCAGTTCTCTTTAAACATGTGCATATGTTTACTCCTACTTTAGTAATCATACATACATACGCGCCGACACACGGGCGCTACGCAAACGCAAATATTTACATACTACACATCAACAAACGCACTGCACACGAAAACTACCGCAGGTATGGCTGTGGGGTGGTACGCACATTATCGTTTTTTTTCCCTCCTTTATTGGCATACTTGGTAAATGACGACGCTTTACAGACGCGTCGCGAAAGCGTAAGCCGCTATCGTTGACGGCGTGCGCACAGGCCGCTTCGTCGCTAATACTTTGACAGCTGCTGCCGCCGCTACAGGCATTGCCCCCGTATGCGTTGCGTCTAATAGCTGGCCTGCAGCAGGCACCGCCAACGACGATGTTGAAGACGAAGTCAAAGACCTCAACCCCGTCGACGTTGTCGTCGTCGTCGTCGTCGTTGTCAACACTTCCACGGCTGACGCTTCCGCGCTGCTACACTTATCTGCCGGCTGACGTTTGATCAACATTTGACTGGATTTGACGGCAATCCATTCATTGCGCGCCGCATCAAACCAAGTCAAACCCAAATTGTAACGTCCATTCAAATTGGCGTGCTGACAATGCGAGAACCACCAGCCACCCTCATAGTTGGCGGCACAGTGCGTCTGTGAGATGTCACGATCCACATCGATCGCTGAGAATTGCATGCCCTGCTGATAGTCGAGCGCATCGGAGGCATTACCACTGTAGCCGGCGGTGTTTAGGCGATAGCCATCGGCGCGCGATGAGATATAGAAACGATCGTATTGCGCTAGCCAAACATTATCGTAGATATCCTGCATGAGTACGCGCAATTGTGTGCAATTGTTGCGCGTCAAATGATGTAGCTGTTCATTGCCAATCCAGTATTCGCCAGCTGGTTGTCCAAATCCGGCAGCGTAATCTGCCCAAGAACGATTAAAATCTGCACTGCCGTCATAGCGTCGCTGTACTGTCGTCCAACCATCTGCGGTGCAATGTACCATGCGCGGTCGCTGCTGGCCAGCTGGTGAAATCATAAAGAGACCGGCTGCATTGTCACGCGGCACTTCACTGCAATCCTGTGGGAGATTCTGTATAATGGATTCATATTGCTCCTCGACATTTTCGAGTTTTGCGACAAGTGATTCGGCAGCGCGTTGCTCTGTGTTGGTTGAAGAGCTGTCGCTGTCGCTGTTAATGTTATTGTTATTATTGTTGTTGCTAGCATTACGATGCGGGTGATTGTGATGTGAGTTTTTGTGATGTGAATGATGTAACTGAAAGTGGAAGAAAGCAAAGAAGGAAAAGAAATAAGTTGACGAATAATATTTTAGGGATTATATGTAGGACAAAGTTGAATGACCATCACATACAAGAGTACATACATATCACTGGTAATATTTTTGCCATTTTGTGAGTGACACCTAGTAAAATGCTCGTTTACGCGTAGCTGATGTGTTTCATATACATATATATCCTGTTAGCAAATATTCACAAGATATACTTTCATACATACATACATACATCTGCATGTGTTTTATACTTAAGAGCTTTTCACTTACATCCGTACATACATACTATATGCAATCATCTATGAGGGACGCCTGCTTGGCTCAAACTAAAATAGCATTTGACAGCTAAAGCTTTAATATTCCTGTTGCACAGCTTTCGACATAAATGTGCTATTTTCAGATATACTTGGATTAAGTATAATGAAGGACAGGTAGTTTCTTAAGCGTTTCTAAATATGAATTTAATTTATTAATACAAAAATGGCATTTCTTGCTCAATATTTTTCTCCTTAAGCGGCAATAATACGCGTGTTTGGATAAGTGGAGACAAGTTCATCTCCAATTGGTCTTTTCAAAATAGAGAAGGATTAGCACAACAGAGGAGGATTATTGCATAAACATGGTTAGTGGTTAGGTATATTGATTGTATTATGAGTGAAATGTTAAATCGACCAATTGCGGGAATCGACCATTTTCGATTTTGATGAATTTCGGTCAAAACTTTTCTTTTATCATATAAAAAATTTGCAATTTATTTTTTTAATATTTTAAAAGCTATTTTGACGAATTTCCACTAGGCATTGAAATGACAAAAAATGTATGCCATTTAAAAAAGTGCCATGTGGAAATGAACTTAATGACTATTTTTTAATGCCCAACTTTGTCATTTTTCATTTTTGCCATTTAATGCCTAGTGGAAATCCAGAATTATACTAAATAGTTTCAAAAATGGTTCTGATCTCGTTTTAAAGGTAATATTTGAGGCTATAAAAAGTCAATATTAAACAAATATTCGAAAAATATTAATGAATTTCAAAATTTAAAGAATTTTAAAAGCGAATTCGAAAAATATTACTGAATTTTTGAAATTTAAAAAATGTTAAAAACAAATTCTTTTATATAATTTTGTCAAAATTTTTCTCTTCATATAACATCCACCTCTATCAGGTTTCAAAAGATGCAAACATTTTAAAGAAGATGTTTTTTTAAATGTGTTGTTTGCTTAAAATATTTCTTTTTGCAAACTCTAAATTAAAAATAAATTTAAACCCGCAAACGTTTTTTTTTCAAAGTTGAAAAATTTATATTAAAAAAAAACTTCTTTTAGGATCTTTGAAAATCAGCACAGTAAATAAAGTACCTGCATAAAAAGAAATTGTGCCCAAAGCCTTTTGTAAATTTTTGATTTTGCGACTTTTTTTAATTTCAAAATTCTGTACATACATATGTATGTTTTTAGTTTTAGATTTTTTCGTGTGCATATTTGTTAAAGCCCCAAATATTACCCTTAAAACAAGACCAGCAGCATTTTTGTGACTGTTATAGTTTTTGAGATATTGAAAAAATAAAATTGCAAATTCCGTGAAATTTTTAACTATCCAAAATCGAAACTAAAAATAGATAAATGAGCATGTTGTGACAGGAAAATATGAGAGAGAGTCACAGTATCGGCTACACAGAATGTGGAAAAATTTCAGTTGTATTATGGGAACATTATTTTTTTTTATCAAAGAGCCAGAGAATCGACATAGCAACTTTCGAAGATGCATGAAATAATCTGGGATTATGAACATTTAAAAACGGTGTCCATTCCTTATAGAAAGCGCTTTTTATATATATGTATGTGATGTTAAAAGAAAGAATATTAAATAAAAACAGCTTAACTACATTTAGATCTAAAATCACTGCCAAAGTTTAGATTTTCAAAACCTATTTTCCCTGCCATTAGTCAACCACTGCCCTCCTCGCTTCACTAAGTTTATTTGTAGTTTTTATAAAACTTGTTCACTTGAAATATGTTCTTCATATTTCTCGTTCACACCACCGTCAACTGCAGCAGCATTCCGCATTTTGAAATCACGCGTCGTACGTTTTTTTTATATTTTTTTCATTTTATATTTTGAAAAAATTAGCAGACAAGTGAATGGAGAAAGGAAGTAATGAAGAATGTCAGCAGCACGTCGGAAATCATTTTGTGTCGTCTTTATGCCGGAAACACAATTTAAGTGTGGTTCGCTTGAAAAGAACGTGTCGACAAAGTAAAATTCAAGAGCGCTTGAGTGGCAGCGGGCAGTTAGTGGGTGACCACGTTAGATGAAAGGGCGACCAAAAGGGCGGACATAATAAGAATCCGAGTAAAAATGCAAAATGCGGTGGGAGGAGTAAATAGGTTGGCAGCTAAACTTGGAATTGATTTCATAGGAGTTGGAGATGGCTGTGTGCAGTGATTGTTTAGTTGGTGTGCGTGACAGAGACAATTTCTGTTAGGAAACTATAGAGCGCTCGTGGGGTGCATTAGTATTAGTTACTGCGTGTATCTATGTATGCCCACAAGCGAAAGAAAATTGAACGATTTCGCATATTGGACAGCGGAACATACAAATTTAAGTAGAAATAAAAGTTAAATAAAAATTACTGTACCAAGGAAGTACAAAACATATTTTATATATATATATATTTTATATATATATATATATACGTACATAATCGCATATTCGGATATAGGTATGTAGCAGTAACTAGTGAACATAGTGACAAAAGCAAATATTACAGTAGCCATAGGGAAGAGGAAATTAGAAAAAAAAATACTCACAGATTACTAGATGCTAACGGAAACGGATGCTAACTTAGAACGCACGGATGTTAGCTGTTGCTGAGCGCATGACCAACAAAGAAAAGGACGCATGTTTGCACACTCGTGCATGCGTAATGTGAGTAGTACGAGTACGCTTCAACAAAAAGCGCTGCTCGGTATGTACGTGGTACATTGGATGCTTTAGTGTGCGGCGAGTGGTGCGACGAGATTGAAAGCAGTTTGGTTTTATGAATGTATGTATGTAGTTGGTTTGCTGGCCCTGCTGGTAGTTTAAAAAGATTGCAATAAGGGCGCAAGCGGGGCTAAGTAGTCAGCATGAAACAGTCACGCGTCGTTGACTATACTAAATTGCTGACATTTAAGCTCGCTAGCTGCAGATTTGCGCTCGTTATGTGATTTTCTTTGCTCTATCCCCCCGCCTTGTCGCCCACCCCTGCCATGTTTTTATTTCCGGTTTTTTACGCAATTTTAAACTCGCTTTATTATTTCAGCACTTTGTGAAAATAAAATAGCAAATTGCTTTAAAATGAGTGAGTATAAAAGCGTGGAAGAAGAAGAAGACGAAAAAAAAAAAATGGTAGAGGAAGTGACTGTGGCAAAGTGTTTCCGGTCGTTAAATTGATAGCCTTGCATATGTTGACACGGACTGATTGCTTCGTGTTTGGGGTAACAATGAATTTGTAATGTTTAATTTTGCTTTTGTTGCTGGATTTTTTTT